TAGAATAGAAGAGTAAGTTTTTCTTAAAAAAAAAAAAAGCAACAGGTGCTTAAGGAAATCATTTTAAATTTATCTGGGGAAAAAAGAGATCCTAATGAAACCTCTTTCCTTAAAACGTAGTCACTCCAGCTAAACCAGCAGTCCCCTACCTTTTTGTCACCAGGAACTAGTTTTGTGAAAGACAATTTTTCCACAGACCAGGGATAGGGGGTGATTTAGGGATAATTCAGGCACATTACATTTATTGTGCACTTTTGGCTCAAATGGTAAAGAATCTTCCTGCAATGTGGGAGACATGGGTTCAATCCCTGGGTTGGAAAGATCCCCTGGAGAAGGGAACGGCTACCCACTCCCGTATTCTTGCCTGGACAATTCCATGGACAGAGGAGCCTGGTGGGCTACAGTCCATGGGGTCACAAAGATTCAGACACAACTGAACAACTTTCACTTGACTTTATTTCTGTTATTACAATATGAGCTCCACCTTAGATCATCATGCATTAGATTCTATAGGTGGGGGACGCCTGGGCTAAACAGAACTGCCTAGTATAATTCATAACATGGTCTCCTCTCAGAACCGATGTGCTTGCTGACTGTCCTGCCTGCTAAGGTCTCCCCCAGACATCCCCGTGGCTCATCCCTTTCCTTGCTTCAGGTCTCTGCTCAAAAGTCTGTTCAGATACTTTCCTGGACTGCTCATCAAGAGAGCCACACCTACTGAGGCCCACGCACCAGAGTACTCCCTATGCGCTTGAATTTTCCATTATATTTCTCTCCACGCCAATTGTTATCACCTAGGTGCTTTTTTTTTTTTTAACACCACCCTTATGGCAGAAAGTGAAGAACTAAAGAGCTTCTTGATGAAAGTGAAAGAGGAGAGTGAAAAAGTTGGCTTAAAACTCAACATTCAGAAAACTAACATCATAGCATCCAGTCCCATCACTTCATGGCAAATAGATGGGGAAACAGTGGAAACAGGGGCAGACTTTATTTTGGGGGGCTCCCAAATCACTGCAGATGGTGACTGCAGCCATGAAATTAAATGACGCTTGCTCCTTGGAAGGAAACTTATGACCAACCTAGATAGCATATTAAAAAGCAGAGACATTACTTTGCCAACAAAGGTCCATCTAGTCAAGGCTATGGTTTTTCCAGTAGTCATGTATGGATGTGAGTTGGACTATAAAGAAAGCTGAGTGCCAAAGAATTGACACTTTTGAACTGTGGTGGTGAAGACTCTTTAAGAGTTCCTTGGACTGCAAGGAGATCCAACCAGTCCATCCTAAAGCAAATCAGTCCTGGATGTTCATTGGAAGGACTGATGCTGAAACTGAAGTTCTAATACTTTGGCCACCTGATGTGAAGTGCCAGCGCATTGGAAAAGACCCTGATGCTAGGAAAGATTGAAAGCAGGAGCAGAAGGGGATGACAGAGGATGAGATGGTTGGATGGCATCACCAACTCAATGGACATGAGTTTGAGTAACTCTGAGAGTTGGTGATGGACAGGGAGGCCTGGTGTGCTGCAGTCCATGGGGTCGCAAAGAGTCAGACACGACTGAGCGACTGAACTGATTGGTCTGTCTTCTCCCAGTAGGACATAATTTTCACAAGGAATATCTGTTTTATTTCCTGCAAAAGCCTTCCACAGGGGAACAGTCCCTGGCAAGTAGTAGGGATTGAATAAATACTTGTTGAATTAATGAAAGAATGAGTAAAAACAATTTTCAAATTTTTTTAATTTTTATTACGCACTAAAATTTTTCTCTGTAGGATCACTTGGAATACAATTGTGCAAACATTTGAACTAAAGATCTTGCAACCTAAGTTCCAGCTCTGCCATTCATTTCTTGTGTAACCTGGTTAGATCATTTCTTGGAGTTTCACTTTGTGTGTCTGACACTATGGCTTGCAATCTTGACTCTAAAATCCAACACAAAATAGATTCCATATATAAAAATTGTCTATGTATGTCATCTTTAGTAACATGTATGACCTCCGATACTTTGGCCACCTGATGCAAAGAGCTGACTCATTTGAAAAGACCCTGATGCTGGGAAAGACTGAGGGGCAGGAGGAGAAGGGGACGACAGAGGATAAGATAATTGGATGGCATTACCAACTCAATGGACATGGGTTTGGGTGAACTCCGGGAGTTGGTGATGGACAGGGAGGCCTGGCGTGCTGCGGTTCATGGGGTTGCAAAGAGTCGGACACGACTGAGTGACTGAATTGAACTGATGACATAAAACCAGGTACAATTATAAAGGTTATTACTTTCCAAGAAAGTGTGATCTAATAATGTGCTCTATTTCTTTTTCTGGAAGGGCCAATCTTCCAAACCTCCGACCTCAAAAAATTATGTTATTTTTTGGAAACTGACAAAATTTAACCAGAGACTATTAATCTATTTCCATGTTTAAACTATTGTTTTGCTCTTTATTCTACTGTGAAACTTGCTATGGTCCATCATCTCCATTTCTACAATACTACAAATCTCATGACACATAATGTCTCATGCAGGCACCAAACATTTTTTTTTTTTTAGCTCTACTTGGAAAACTATTCCAAATAAACTATCCAGTAAGCTAAAGGCCAGGGAAAAATCAAGACTGAATATACAGGAATAATGACTAAGTTTATTATGGGAAAATCATATTTAATTAGATGAAACAGTACATGTAAATGTAATTTGCATAATGTCCTCCGTACGTTGTTGTTACTGTTTAGTCACTACCTCGTGTCTGACCCATTTCCGACCCCGTGGACTGTAGCCCGCCAGCCTCCTTTGTCCATGGGATTCTCCAAGCAGGAATACTGGAGTGGGTTGCCATTTCCTTCGCCAGGGCTTCTTCCACACCCAGGGATTGAACCTGCATCTCCTGTATTGGCAGGCGGATTCTTTATCACTGAACCATGATTATTATTCTTAAAGAATCTCTGAGCTGATAAAAATCTCGAGACTTCACCCTGGTATATCTCTGACTCTTCTACCAAACATTTAAAAAGAAAAGTCTCATTTTCCAAATCCAATAAAGATTATTGGCCACACAACTGTGCAAAACGCAACTCAGTGTGGCTACAAATAAAGTTCAACAAAGCACAAGTCTTAACCAGTCTGCTCCACTGTCTCCTCGGAGAAGGGAAACGACAGACAGCTGAGGTGCAGGACCGTGGGAACAAATACCTGTCCTTCCTCCGCCCCTATAATTTCTAGCTAGCCACCTTCCGGCAGCCAGCGGCACTTCGACATCTGTGCGTCTCTCCCTAGCTCCCGCCATCTTTAGCGCTTTCCCTTTCAGTTCAGTTCAGCCCCTCAGTCGTGTCCGACTCCCCGCGATCCCATGGACTGCAGCACGGCCAGGCCTCCCTGTCCATCACCAACTCCCAGAGCTTACTCAAACTTAAGTCGATTGAGTCGGTGATGCCATCCAAGAGTACAGCTTTCTCTCTATTTCAGCTGAAATGCAGCCTAGCTAGGTCTGCCCGAGGTCTCGCGAGGGTGACCTGTTGCCCTGGTAACGAGTGCGGCGCGCCGCGAGGTGAAGGGCGCGGCGGGGGCTGCTCAACTGCGGTAGGGTTTTATCCCGTGTTCGTGCTGTTGGTGTCTGGGGCAGAGCTGCGGCTCCCGGCACCGAAAAGGCGCCTGGCCGGGCCGCGGGACGACTGACCTGGCCGGGAGACTCGGGGCGAGGGGGAGGTGGCCGAGACGGGGCAGGGAAGTGCCGAGGGGAACAGTCTCTAAGGGGAAAGAGCGCGCCCGAGAAAATGTGGGTCGCGAAGTGAGTGTGGGAGGAACACTTGCCCCCCTCCTCGCCCCCGCCCTGAGAATTGTGGCTTCACTGTCCTTCCCGCCTAGGAAGTTGTTCCTGCCCGCGGACGGCCCCCGCACGACTGGGCGGGGCGGTGCCGGCTGTGTCGCTTCTTAGGTAGAAGACGCGCGCGGAGGGAGCGCCCTTAGAGCCGCCTGTGTCTGTGACGTCCCTGCCGCTTAGGTTTTACCCTGCAGCAGGTTGGTGCGCCTCATATTTTCACGTAAAAAGACAGAACCAAGATTTATACCAGTCTGGTTTTCTAAAATTGGAGTTGTGGTCCCCAAACGGAACCTTTAGTCTCTTACCACTGAAGGTATCACCCATAAGACAAGACTTTTCTGTTGTATTCGTAGTTTTTCGCTATGGAGCTTGGGCTTTATATAGTCCACGCTCTAAACCCACTTTGTAGAAAGAGTCTTTGTGTAGTCCACGCTCTAAAACCCCTTTTGTAGAAAAGAGCGTAAATCAGTAGTTTCAAAATTAGTAAATTCCTTTAGTCTCTCAAAAATAGTAGACTCTTGACAAGCGATTTCTATTATTTCATTGTCTTTACCATTTAAGAGGATACTCGCATAGGGAGGATTATGGTCGTTATCCGTACAGCCTTCTGATAACGATTGAAATTCCAGTAAGACTTACGACCGAATATTTAGAACAGACAGTATCTACAGAATATCAACCAAAATACAGAGAATAAAAGCCTAATTTCATTTGAACCGTTGGTCAAATGAAAATTACGCAGAAAAAATATTAACTATATTGTTGAAACTCAATGCCTGAATCTAACTAAATTTTCTTTGATTCATGATTTTTTTTAATGCCTCAGGCTCATTCTGAACTTTCTATCGGTGTATGGTATTTAATTGTAAATAGAGGATGTAAATGATTTGGCTGTGTACCCTGGAAATTCCTTTTTCAATTAAATTATTTACTTTTTTTTCTTTTGTGATTTTTGTCTCTAATAAAAATAGAAAATGTCTTTAAATCTTTGAAATTAAAGGTTTAGTTAGCTGTGTCCTAATTTACTTTATAGAGAAACCTTTTGTCACTATTAATACAATTGAATATATTTGGGGGTAAACATTTAATGTGTGCTTAAAAAGAAAACTACCAAACAAGTCCCTTACAAATTGTTTTACAGCCGACCTAGATAATAATAGAAATTTCGAGCCAAATATTGGAAGAGATGTCAGAAGATTCAGAAAAGGAAGACTATTCAGACAGAACAATCAGTGATGAAGATGAATCAGTATGTTTTTCTCAACTTTATCCTACTTAAAACTTATTATAAAATACAAATTCCCAGTAAAAATGTTATACATTCAGCTGACTAACAACCAATTGGATACTTAAATCACTTGTCACTGAAGTTGGGAAATTGATTGAAAGCAAAGCTGTTACTGTGTGCAGTATGCCCTATGTAAAAAGAGAGTCTATATTGGGGTTTTTTTGAGGAAGTATTTTAGATAAAACTTCTCTGAGTTATCTTAATAGTGGGACCTCCTATTTCTAAACTTACTATGTGTCACCATAATAGGTTTCATGTGGCAGTGTTGTAGCAAAAGTACATGGAAGAAGAAATCGGGGAGGGGAGAAACAGTAGTTTCTCTTTCTAAACAAAATAGTTTAGCAGTAGTTAAAATATTCTTCTGGTCCCAGCACATATTTCTAAGAAATTCCCTTCACATTTTAGTAAAGTATAAATTATCTATGTAAGTTAAGGTCCCAAAATAAACTCCCCAAATGAGGTATAACCCATTAAGTTTGCGATTTTCTGGGTTTCTTGTCTTTCTTCCATTTTCCAGTTAATTTTATATTGAATTTAAGTTGTTTTGCCAGGTTTACCAAGAATCTTTAAACTATTTGTTCTCTACAATCATTAATATGGCCTTGCCTTGTGGAAGAAGAGAAATAAAAGCTGAAAACTTTGTTTCAGGATATTCAAAGTGTTGGGTGCTTTGAGACCAACAGCTGATAATAATCCTTTAATTTTTTCATTTATTAAAGATTAAAGACACACTCAGTTCTAAGCATTAAGATGTAAAATATTTCTGGATTGGCAAGCTGTTTTTAAAATAAAAAATTCTCATTTTAGGATGAGGATACCTTTATGAAGTTTGTAAATGAAGACATCCATCAGTGTGCACTTTTAACAGGTTTGAAATTATTCATATATTCTCCCTTCTCTTTCTGATAAGACCTTAAGTAGATGAAAAATGAGAGAAAGCTAGAAAAAAAAGTCAGAGTGAATAACACAGGAATTATTATTCTGCTATTGGTAAGGAGAGATGTATTTTTATGAGTATTTTGGAGTTTATACACTTTTTAAAAATTGCAGTACAGGAGATTTACAATATTCTGTTTCAGGTATACAGAAAAGTGACTCAGTTATATATATAATATATATAGTTTTTCACTTTATTTTCCATTATAGGTTATTAGAAGATAATGTGATTGCCTGTGTTATTCAGTAAAGCCTTGTTTTTATCTATTTTACGTATAGTAGGTTGTTAATCCCATACTCCTAATTTATCCCTCCCCCTTCCTTTCCGCTGTGATAACCATAAATATGTTTTCTGTGTCTATAAATCTGTTTCTGTTTTGTATATAGATTCATTTGTATTGTTTTTTAAATTCCACATATAAACCATATTGAAATTTGTCTTCCTCTGTCTAACTTACTTCACAGGTATTTTTAAAAATGACACAAATGAACTTATTTACAAAACAGAAATAGATTGATAGATTTTTGAAAACAAACATGTTTACCACAGGAGAAATGTTGTGGGGGAGGGATAAATAAGGAACTTGAGCTTACATACATACAGGAATAATGTTCTCAAGGTCCATCCATGTATTTTCAAGGTCCATATTGTTGCAAATGGCCATATCCCATTCATTTTTATGGCTGAGTAATATTTTATTATATATATGTATTCAGTCTATTGATGGGGACTTGGGTAGCTTCCAAGTCTAGGCTATTATAAATAGTGCTGCTATGAACATTGGGATGCATGTCTCTTTTTGAATTAGAGTTTTAGTTATTTCTGGATATAAATCCCAGGAATGGGATTGCTGGATCATATGGTAGTTCTATTTTTAGCTTTTTAAGAAACTTCCATACTGTTTTCCATAGTGACTGTACCAATTTACATCCCTACCAACAGTGTATAAGTGTTCCCTTTTCTCCACACCCTCTCCAGCTTTACTCTCTGCAGATTTTTTGAGTGTTAGGTGATAACCTCATTGTGCTTTTGATTTACATTTCTCTAATATTACCAGTGGTGACCATCTTTTCTTGTGCCTGTTGGTCATCTCTGTGTCTTCTTTGGAAAAATATCTATTTAAGTCTTCTGTTCATTTTTTGACTAGATTGTTTGGGGTTCTTTTTGTTTGTTTTTAAGTTTTATTGGAATATAGTTGATTTACAGTGTTGTGTTAGTATCAGGTGTGCAACAAAGTGATTCAGTAATACATATATGTATATTCATTTCTTTTTCAGATCCTTTTCTCATAAAGTTTATTACAGAATACTGAGTAGAATTCCTTGTGTTGTACAGTAGGTCCTTGCTGGTTACCTATCTTATATATGGTGCTGTCTGTATGTAACCACAAGTTTCTTATTTATCCCTCCCCCAGTGATTTATCCCTTCCCCTGTGATTACCATGTTTGTTTTCAAAATCTATCAGTCTATTTCTGTTTCATAAATACATTTGTTTCATTTTTTAAAATTAGATTACACATATTGGTGATACATATGATATTTGTCTTTGTCTGACTTACTTCACTTAGTATAATAATATCTAGGCCCATCCATGTTGCTACAAATGACATTATTTTGTTCTTTTTTATAGCTGAGTGATATTCCATTGTATATATGTACCACAGCTTATCCATTCCTCTGTCGATGGACGTTTAGGTTGCTTCCATGTCTTGGCTATTGTAAATAGTACTGAAATGAACATTGAGGTGCATTATCTTTTTGAATTATGGTCTTCTCTGCATATATGCCCAGGAGTGGGATTGCCAGATCATGATGTTGTTGTTGTTCAGTTACTAAGTCCAGCTATTTGTGACCCCATCAACTAAAGCCCGCCAGGCTTCCTTGTCCTTCACTACCTCCCAGAGTTTGCTCAAATTCATGTCCATTGAGTTGATGATGCTATCTAACCATGTCATCCTCTGCCACCCACTTCTTTTGCATTCAATCTTTCCCAGCATCAAAGTCTTTTCCAATGGGTTGACTCTGCATCAGGTAGCCAAAGTATTGGCACTTCAGCTTCAGCTTCAGTCCTTCCAATGAATATGCAGGGTTGATTTCCTTTAGGATTGACTGGCTTGATCTCCTTGCAGTTGAATGGATTCTCAAAACTCTTCTCTAATACAGTTTAAAAGCATCAGTTCTTTGACGCTCAGCTTTCTTTATGGTCCAACTCTCACATCCATATTGACTACTGCAAAAACCATAGCTTTGACTAGACGGACCTTTGAGGGCAAAGTGATGTCTTTGCTTTTTAATATGCTGTCTAGTTTTGTCATAGCTTTCCTTCCAAGGAGCAAGTCTTAATTTCATGGCTATAGTCACCATCTGCAGTGACCTTGGAGCCCAAGAAAATAAAATCTGTCACTGTTTCCACTTTTCCCCTTCAATTTGCCATGAAGTGATGAGACTGGATGCCATGATCTTAGTTTTCTGAATGTTGAGTTTTAAGCCAGCTTTTTCACTCTCTCTTTCACCCTTACCAAGAGGCTCTTTAGTTCCTCTGCCCTTTCTGCTATTAAAGTAGTATCATCTGCATATCTGAGGTTGTTAATATTTCTTCTGTCATTCTTGATTCCAGCTTGTGATTCATCCAACCTGGCATTTTGCATGATGTACTCTGCATGTGTGCATGCTAAATCATGTGTGCTAAGTCACTTCAGTCATGTCTAACTCTTTGCAACCTTGTGGACTGTAGCCCACCAGGTTCTTCTATCCATGGGATTCTCCATGCAAGAATGCTGGAGTGGGTTGCCACGCTCTTCTCCAGAATATCTTCTTGACCCAGGGATGAAAGTCACATCTCTTACGGTCTTCTGCATTGGCAGGCAGGTTCTGTACCACTGGCACATATAAGTTAAATAAATAGGGTGATAATATACAGCCTTATCATACTCCTTTCCCAATTTTGAACCCATCAGTCGTTCTATGTAAGGTTCTAGCTGTTGCTTCTTGACCCTCATACAGATTTCTCAGGAGACAAGTAAGGTGATCTGGTATTCCCATCTCTTTAAGAATTTTCCAGTTTGTTGTTGTCTACACAGTCAATGGCTTTAGTGTAGTCAGTGAAGTGGAAGTAGATGTTTTTATGGAATTCCCTTGCTTTCTTTATGATCCAATGAATGTTGGCAGTTTGATCTCTGCTTCCCCTGCCTCTTCGAAACCCAACTTATACATCTGGAAGTTCTCAGTTCGTGTACTGCTGAAGCCTTGAGCATAATCTTGCTAGCATGTGAAATGAGCACTATTGTGTGGTAGTTTGAACATTCTTTGATACTGCCCTTCTTTGGAATTGGAATGAAAACTGACCTTTTCCAGCCCTTTGGCCACTGCTAAGTTTTCTAAAAATGCTAACATATTGAATGCAGCTCTTTAACAGCAGCATCTTTTAGGATTTTAAATAGCTTAGCTGGAATTCCATCACCTCCACTAGCTTTGTTCGTGGTAATGCTTCCTAAGGCCCACTAGACATCACATTCCAGGATGTCTGGCTCTAGGTGAGTGAGTGACCACACCATCATGGTTATCTGGGTCATTAAGACATTTTTTGGTATAGTTCTTCTGTATATTCTTGCCACCTCTTCTTAATACCCTCTGCTTCTGTTAGGTGCTTGCCATTTCTGTCATTTATTGTGCTGTCCTTGCATGAAATGTTCCCTTGATATCTCTGGTTTTCTTGAAGAGCTCTCTAAGTCTTTCCCATTCTATTGTTTTCCTTTACTTTCTTGCAGTGTTTATTTAAGGCTGCCTTATCTCTCCTTACTATTCTCCATTTCTTCTAAGGGATTCTTGCCCACAGTAGTAGACATAATGGTCACCTGAATTAAGTTCGCTCATTCCCATCCATTTTAGTTTACTGATTCCTAAGATGTTGATGTTCACTCTTGCCATCTCCTTCTTCACCATGTTCAATTTATCTTGATTTGTGGACCTAATATTCCAGATTCCTATGCAATATTGTTCTTTACAGCATAGGACTTTAATTTCACCATCAGACACATCCACAGCTAAGTGTTGTTTCTGCTTTGGTCTGCTGCTTCATTCTTTCTGGAGCTATTAGTAATTGCCCTCTGCTCTTCCCCAGTAGTATATTGGACACCTCTCAAGCTGACAAGCTCACCTTCCAGGGCTGTATCTTTTTGCCTTTTCATACTGTCTGTGGGTTTCTCCAGGCAAGAATAGTGGGTGGAATGGTTTGTCATTCTGTCCTCTAGTGGACCACGTTTTTGTCAGAACTCTCCACTATGACCCATCTGTATTGGGTGACCCTGCACGACATGGCTTGTACCTTCTTTGAGTTATTCAAGCTCCTTCGTCAGGACAAGGCTGTGATCCGTGAAGGGATGCTTGATCATATGGTAGTTCTATTTTTAGTTTTTTATCTCTTCAAGAAAATTAGTGATACCAAGGGAACATTTCATGCAAAGATGGTCACAGTAAAGGACAGAAATGGTATGGACCTAACAGAAGCAGAAGATATTAAGAACAGCTGACAAAAATACACAGAAGAAATATACAAAAAAGATCTTCATGACCCAGATAACTACGATGGTGTGATCACTCACCTAGAGCCAGACATCCTGGAATGTAAAGTCAAGTGGGCCTTAGGAAGTATCACCACAAACAAAGCTAGTGGAGGTGAGGGAATTCCAGTTGAGCTAATTCAAATCCTAAAAGATGATGCTGTAAAAGTGCTCCACTCAATATGCCAGCAAATTTGGAAAACTCAGCAGTGGCCAAAGGGCTGGAAAAGGTCAGTTTTCACTCCAGTCCCAAAGAAAGGCAAAGCCAAAGAATGTTCAAACTACTGCACAATTGCACTTACCTCACACGCTAGCAAAGTAATGCTTAAAATTCTCCAAGTGAGGCTCCAACAGTATGTGAACCATGAACTT